ATTTCTTTAAGATTGATGTAAATTTTATTCAAGCTGCAGTTCCTGATAAATAAGTTGCAATTAAAAGTATTATATGATTGACCAAAAACAAGGATATGCCAGGAAGGTAATTGGAAACCAAGTTCAATATTATGTGACACGAACTTCTGTAATATCTGTATATTTATTCATGTTGCGTTTCCTGATCGTAAGTTCCATGTGTTACATTAAAAGAATCGCTGCAAATCAGCAGTTCCCCCATCTAGACCTATTTACTTGGGAGTGTCTACATATTTGGTAGACCCAAGAACACATTATATTCACTAATATTTACACAAGATTACAGAGGCAAATGATGAGGCTGAGTGCAAAAGACCAAACCCAGAATGAGAACTGGTGCCCAGGGCAAAGACAACTTACAGGTAAATTTCCTGCGTCGTAATGTAATACAAGGCAATAGCTGTGATGAAAACACAAACTGATGTCAGAAAATTAACAACAAAGATGAACTTCAAGAATTCCCTAGAACCCCATATGGGTTCAAGCAGTTTTCCAACAAAAAGAAGACCAATTGTGCTGATAACCAGCTGCAAAAGAAGTATAATATTAGGAACATATTTTAATAGAGGAAAGTTACCAGAGTGGAGGGAACAATAAATGCGGAATGACCAATATTTACCCCATATATTGATTGTTCAGTGTATCCAGCTGTAATGAGGTTCCAAGCAAAAGGAATAGTCCTACGGTAAATCCAATAAATAATTAGATAGTAACAAATTTTAGCTTTAAATCCATTTGAATGGCATGCACGAAATTATCCACTAAATAATAAGTCTTAGTGGTAGAAAGGATTGGCTCCTCTCCACACTCAAATTTTCGAGGACCCACCAGCCAAAGTCTTCAATAATGATATCTATCTGAAGTAATAGAATAGAGACTAAATGCTTAGATATCTTTTTTTCCAACTCTAAACTTAATGGCACATAGAAAAAGTTTAGAGCAAATTTTGGCAGCAACAACCTCAAGTAAATTACGACTCTACATAAACATAGTAAATCAATAATATCCTCTCTTATATCAGTTCTCCCCTCTCTTTACATGTAGTCTAACTAAGTCACCAATCAAATTCTTCTGCACTTTTCTCTTCTGAGAATCCAATTATAGTGGCCATATATCAAGTCATTTTTTCAAATGAAATTTACGTTTATGTCATAATTACGACAGAGGTGACAGTGTCATCCTTGAATCATTCTGTCCCCCTGATCACAAAAAATATGAAAGAGAACAATAGACAAACAAAGAACTAACTCCTTTTATTAATGAGAACAAGAGGTTTAAGTTAAATCCAATTGATTCAAGTTTGCATCATTTTATTGTTTCCTTGATATGAGTTTCTCAAATCAATTCTCCATTTACCTAGTTTGTTTCACAAGTTATGGGAAATTTTTATTTCTATCTGGTTCAATTTCAAATCATGCAAATTTACAATAAACAAGACAAATCCATGTTTATGATT